GTATGTAGAAACTAGTAAGTTGTAAGTAGTAAGTAGTAAGAAGTAAGTAGTTAGTAGTTCGTAGTTAGCAGTTAGTAGTTAGTAGTCAGTAGTAGTAGTCGTCGTCGTCGTCGTAGTCGTAGTCGTAGTCGTAGTCGTTGTAGTAGTAGTAGTAGTAGCAGGAGGAGTAGTAGTAGTAGTAGTAGTAGTTTGTCAGTAGTAGTAGTAGTAGTAGTAGTAGTCGTAGAAGTAGTAGTAGTAGTGGTAGTAGTAGTAGTAGTGGTAGTAGTAGTAGTAGTGGTAGTGGTAGTAGTAGCCAGTAGCCTATATATAGTAATAGTACTAGTACTAGCGCTAGAACTAGAACTAGAACTAGTACTAGTAGTACTTCTAGTAGTGGTAGTAGCAGTGGTAGTAGTCGTAAAAGTAGCGGTAGTAGTAAGTCATTTGATTTAATCGATTCCTTTTCGATGGGAATTTGATGGAATTCGTCTTCGGGATTCGTCTTCGGAGGGCAAGGGAGCTCGTCTTCGCGGAATTCGTCTTCGGGGGGTAAATCGTCTCTGGGGGGGGAATTCGTCTTCGCGGAATTCGTCTTGAGAATTGTCTTCGGAGGTCAATTCGTCTGCGGGCGGAGTCGATAATCCACATATATATACAGTATATAATTCTGTATACACATACACCGAGTAGATATAAACGTAGATATATATATACATATATACATAGCCTCATGTCGAACACTTCTTGATAACACGTTCCTTATTTGTGTGTATTGGAACAAGAGGTCGGTTCTGGACCAACGCGGCTTCCAAAGACTTATGCTGAGCAAACTTAACTCCAGTCGTGCCACAACAGTCAGATCACCAGGCACAAACTCGTAGAGGGCCGAGATGGCTTCAACTGCTTTGCAGCATACCTGGAATGAAGCAGAGCTCTGGGCCAACAGCAAAGAATAGCCACAGCAATGTTATCCCGCCTCACGATCAGGATCCCGCAATGCAACTAGCAAAGCACCCAAAACACGGCGATCTCCCTGCACAAGCAGGAGGGAATTCAAGCTCCCCAAGCCCCAAGCAAACAAAACAGTTCTAAAGGTATGTCGTCGCGAGCCCGGTCAATGATCTTTTCCAGCGAGGACAGTGCTTCATATCGCACTGAGTGATCGCAGTCCTTCACATGTCACAACCACACAAACATTCACGCAAATTGCCATGCCGTGGCGGCAAAAAACTTACGTACGCACCATGTTGCGCTGGCAATCCCAAATCACACCTGCATGATACCCAATGTTGGTCAAGAATGCTGAGATGATGATGATGCCAAATAATTGGGTAAAGAACTGTTCTGACCAAACTGGTTGTCAAGTGGTTCTCCTTCTCTGTCTCAGGCAGAAGATCCTGAGACCAAGACTGTGTCCATATGCAATTTCCTCTCTTCAGGACAGTCTCGCTTCAATTGAGCAACAAAGCGAAGGTGTGGAAAAAGATCTCCAGGTGCGAGAGCTTCATCACACCCTTCCTTGCAAAAGCCGTGTGTACAAATAAGATTTCGTGAAGCCTGAGACTATCCACACCATACGCGTAGCCGCGTAGCCTCAAGGCTGGCTGAGTTGCCTGCCACAGGGCTGTCTTCTTCAGGGTTTTCAGCAGACGGCTGTGACCTTGAAGGCACGGATCCCGTTTAAAAACACCCCGGCAAATGCTAAAACCAAAATAGACTAACAAACCAAAGGCAAAAATGAGCGTTTGCCAATTGGCTCTTGTTAACAATTTGCCGGATCTAGCCTAGTCCATTGCTAGCTAGTTGCGATGCCCAAGGCAAAGCATTGAAGGGTTTGTCACTCGACCTGAATAAAATGCCAAGAAAGGAACGTCTGCTCCTCTCCTTGTTCCTGGGTGCCTGCCAAGACTGGTGGCAGCAGCATATCAAACGTTTGGGCTGTTGTAGAGTGATGCTATCCCCTTGGTCACTTCTACTTGTGCAACAATGGTTATATGACGCTATATGATTACAGTACTTTCTGGATATTGGACTCAGCAGCTTCTCCAGCAACCCCAAACCTTGGACATCGTCTTCCGGTTGCGGCGGTTGCTCTTGGAAGGGGTTTGCCTCACCACGAGCTGTCTGAGGTGCCCAGCTGCTTGGAAAGAACTGCCTCGATCACTGGCTCTGCAGGACTGGCATCACCCTGGTTAGCATCGGCTTCATCTTGCGAATCCTGGAAGCGCTCTTACATCTCAGGCGCGCCATTCTTACGTCTTACACAGCATTGCTACTGCATGACATGTCCTACTTGTCAGAGGCAAGCAGTATAAGTGAGCCAACTGTGCCGTAACATGCCTTAACAGCTTTGGTGCGGGCCTGCTCTTCACTGGTTTGATCAGCCTCCTGCTGTTCAAGCTCTGCTTGCGCCTTGCACTTAACATTACACGAAGTTAAAAACTTTTGGTTTTTGGCTCAAGACCAAGCCGGTCAGAATCCTGCTCATACGAGAGCAAAGGCAAGAAAAATCATGCTCTAAGCGCTGGCTCAGGTGCTTCCATAAGCCTCCTGAGCTCCTCTTCTTCACGGCGCTTTGGCTCGTCGGCAATCCACTGCAGGTCCTAGGTGATCTAGAATCTAGGATCCAAGAGCAAAGCTTCCAGTAGCTAAGACTGGACGCCAAGTGCAAAGGCGACAAACAGAAATGAATGCACTGTGCCGCTACACAACCAAGGCGCCACAATGGGCAGGTCCATGCAGCAGCCCAAAGCAGTGCACAACGCTTCGATACACACCTGGGCTCACTGCCGCCTTCCACCTTTCGTAGCTGCACGTTTAGAAGGCATGTAAGAGCAGGAGGTTCGTATAGTATACCAAACAAGTTGCCCTCGCACCCGCTCGCCCAATGTCAGACCCACCTCAGCATGCTTGTTTGGATGTTCCTTGTCCTTGCTGGGAGTTCCTCAGCATCCAGGCACTCTGAATGACAAGGCCACTGTAATAGCCAGCCGTTACAAGGTTGAGCTAGGGGTGAGCTAGAGAAAATCACAAATGAATGATCCTCAAGCATCGCTTGGTAAAGTTGGAGACGTGAAACGCAAAGCATGATTATCCTCAGCGCCTTGCCCATTTTGCCCAATCCCATGGCAGCTTGTCGCCGGACCCTAGGGTCGTCGTTCCTGAAAACGCAACGGCAGCAGTGCAACTTGGTACCGGCCCACCCAAATGCAGCAAAGGGGCGACTGAAGCAAATGCGACAGCAACTTGATGACTTTTGCATCTCCAGGCTTGGCAACCGTCCACAAAACCTGGGTGGCTTTATGCAAAAATGCACCGGTGAATGCTTCTTGTTGCGGGCGGTCGTGCTCAAAGATCTATGAACGTGGTGCCTGCAAACTGCAATCTAAAACACGCGCACCTCTGTGGCAAGGGCGTGCAACTCTCGCAAAGGGCCCTTGATCTTTCCCGCCAGGGCAGCCAGCGTCGCCTCGACGGCGCTGGACACATTGTTGCAAAAAAGGCCATTGAAGTGGCCGATGTCCGAACACTGGTCTTCCCGCCTGATTGCCTTCAGGGCAGATGGTGACTAAAGTACGCGCGGTTGAGCGTCGAACCTCCGCATCTTGGTCCTCAATGCAAGCCTTAGCACAAACAGTAGTGCGCGCGCGCACGGACGCAAGCCGGCAATACAGTAGCAATCCAGCACTGAAATGGGAGAACTATGAAGAAATGTTGATTGGATTGACTGTAAAGTCACAACAAGCTTGGTCAGCACGGTGTCCTTTGCCAAACCACCTGAAACATCACATCATGCCAGGAGAAACTGCAAACTTGAACATGAAGACCACGCCTGCGAATAAACGGGCTAACGCGTCGACTGCTGTCCTGCGAACACCACCTCTCCAGTCCTGGAAATGAAGCATTGCAGCGTTCTTGCTCCTAGTAGCGATGCCAGGAGCCCCTAGTAGCGTTCTTGCTCCTAGTAGCGATGCCAGGAGCCCCTAGTAGCGTCCTTGCTC